TTTTCTTCCATTCTAGTTATCACTTCTCTCTTCAATGTTGCAGAACACAAATCTTTAAAAAAATGACTAATTTCAATAAAAGGATTTAAAACATTTACTGGTAATGCACTGAATGCAATAGGAAGTAAACACTCCATGAATACATGACAATCATGACTTTTCATGCCATGAATCCTCCCTTTTTGAACATCAACACATCTTGTTAAGTTGGAAAAATAACCATCGGGCATCTTAAGTTCTTTTATCCAATGACAAACTACTTTTGCCTGCTCAATACTATATGTGTAGTTTTTTTTAGGCTTTAACATTTTCCCATTAGCTTGTGCCTTCAACTCCAAGTCTCTACGCCTACAATATAAAGCCATATCTTTTCTTGCTTTCTCATTGTCTTTTGTCTTGCCACTTACATTCATCACAGTGTTGGAAATATTATCAAAGAAATTTTTCTCTATGTGCATAACATCAAGATTGTGTCTCAAAAAATTATTTTTCCAATATGAGAGATCCAAAAATATGCTTCTTTTTGTCCAATTATGTCACTCTCCATATCCTTCTATCATTGTCACACCATATTCAGTTACTTTTGGCAAATCTTTTACTCTTGACCATACTTTTGTAGGTGTTAGCCTAGGAGACGGCCCTTCTACTTCAACTTCCCCCTTCCAAAAAGCTTTAATGTTTCTTCTAAAAGGATGATCATTACGTAAGAACCTTCAATGCGAGTCAAATCAACAACTTTTACGACCATAATTTAATGTAGATGATTTTCTATGCTCCATACAATGTGGACAAGTCAATCTACCATGAGTCCCCCAACCAGATAACATCCCATATGCTGGAAAGTCATTAATAGTCCACATCAAAGTTGCCCTCATCATAAAGTGTTGTTTCCTTGAAATATCATATGTGAGAATACCACTCCATAATTTTTTCAAATCATCGATTAAGGGATCCAAGTAAATGTCAATAGAAGCTTTCAGATTAGATGGACCTGGAATTAGGCAAGTTAAAAACATATATGCCTTTGACATGCACATATCAGGAGGAAGATTATATGGGGTAACAATCACAGGCCAACAAGAATAAGGTGAAGATGAAGCTTGGATATTTGGGTTAAATCCATCAGAACATAATCCAAGTCTGACATTGTGTGGATCAACAGTGAAAGAAGGATGTTTCCTATCAAAGTACTTTCATGCTTCACCGTCTGATGGATGGTGTAACACACCAAAACTTCTATTGTCATGGTGCCAAGTCATTTGCCCAACAGTTTGCATTGATGCAAATATTCTTTGTAATCTTGGATTTATAGGCAAGTAAAACATGACTTTTATTAGGACTGGCTTTTTGTGACTTGTTCCAGTGCTATTGTTGTGATATCTTGGTGTTTGAAAAAATTTACATTCAACCAATGTCGCATCCTTTTTTCCATAATCATTGTCATAGAAAAGCATACACCCATTGACACAAAAGTCAATCTAATCCCAATTTTGATACTAATCTCTTAGCATCATAATAAGTTGTGGGCAAACCATCTTTTATAGGTGTGACATCCAACAACATTCGTGTCATAAAATCTAAGCACTGGTCAGGAATGTTCCAATTTGACTTGCAAGCTAAAAGTTTAACACATATAGACAATTTTGAGTCTTCTGCCCCTTCAAATAAGGGTTTATTTGTTTCAGCCAACAAATTATAGAACCTTTGAGTTGCTTCATTTGATGGCTCTTCTATATTAACCAACTCGGGTCCTTCAAATGAATGAAGTTGCAAGAGAGAATTGTACATCATCTCTTGCATTGACATAAAATGGTCTTGCTGAGGCATGTGTGCACCACTACTTGAACCGTGTACACAATTGTGATCAAAATTCTCTTCAACATGAGGTATTTGTTCACCATGATTGACCCAAATCCAGTAGTTTGTTTTGAACCCTTGCTTGTAAAGGTGAACTTAGACGATTTCATCCTTCAAAATCTTTGTACAGTCGCATTTAATGCATGAACATCTAATCCCTCCATCACGTTCATAATGCTCATATTGTCGTGTTGTTCTGATAAACTCTTCAACCCTATAACAAAATACTCTTTCCAATTCTTCTACCACTATAACATCTATCATACATCCAACCACGATTGAAAGAAATATCATCCATGTTCTGTAATATTGAAGAGAATAAGATCAATTGAAGGAATTGTTTGAAAGAAATCGATCATTAGATTTTGATTCAACTATGCTTCAAATAGAGTGAAAAGACTCAGCTAAAACTTTTATGTTTTCCAAAAGTTGTTACAAACGAAATCTCCTATAGACTTTAGACAAATACTGAAATTTCACTTCACATCAATTGAAACAAAATCCAATCTAAACATTGGATTCAACATAATAATACTAAGCTACTTTTATGTTGTCAAATCCAATTTAACATTGGACTTTCAAGCAATTAGGCTTCAATAAAAAAGGAATCAGTGTACTAAAACATATTTATATATAAAGATGAATTGAAATTATAGTTACAATTAGTAAGCTTGTAATGTGCATATATTGACACAATAAAACTACTAAGCTAAAAGAATATAAAAACAATTTATTAAAACCTACATGGTTGTAGGTACATCATTTTTCCAAGTAGCTTAGTTCTTGTGTTTAGCTATGGTGGATGTATAATGTTTAGCTATAGAAGTATAATGCGAATTGAATAACTACAATTATATAAAAGGAAGAACGAACAAGGTTAAATAAAGAAATGTCAATATTCATGAACTGAACTCACCTTAACACAAATGAATCTCCTTTCAAAATCAGTATGGATAGTCCTTACAACTTGAGGAGCCTTTGTTTGGCATATGATTTGCCAACACTTAACCTGCAACAAGTATCATGTACCGAAAATAATTATTAACATTGAAAGACAACACATGCTGTGATAATAGACATGAAAAAACTATTGGTATAATTGTTCAAGAGAATTGTTGTAGACATGATTTATTTTTAAGTGATTGCTATCTATAAGTTGAAATGATTATGTGTAAATTTGTTTATATCTAAAAGAGTATTTTATTTTTAATTAGAAGTTAGAGAAAGCTACTTGTATTAATGGAAAATGAGAACATAGAATAATATTGTTACTTTTATCCAACAAAAAACATAAAGACACTTATTTTATTTTAAATTTCTATCCACCAGCGCATTTGTTTTTCTAATAAGAAACAACTGCACATTTCTTCTAATATAAAAGAAGCAGCAGAAAATTACTTTTTTATATACTTGTATTTATTTAAATCAGTTTACCTAAACATGATATAATTCATGGATTATTTTACTAAAAATATATTTTTAAAAAAATAAATTTAAAGAAATACACCCAATAATTGAGCATGATAATAATTGACTTTTGAAAATATCAAACCAACCATTGCACTCTCATTATGCTATCTACCAACATTAAAATCCTGTGGGTTGAATTTTATGACTTGAATTTTAATCAACTCCCCCCATCAAAGTGTTACAAAATTATTTTCCAGATGCTAAGCTGGGTCTTCATGACAAAATCAAACATATTTAATTCTCACATTCTTAACCGACGATAATTGATAAGATAGTGGAGTAAAACTCTGCCTAATTTTTTAATTTGTTACAACGCATTTTCTGATCCAATATTCTGCATTTATGCATTTCATATTCCTTCTAATGAGGCCAAATATGTCTTTTCCCTTACCGTTATTTCTAGAATCCCTCATAGTCACTTCTCCTGAATCATCATCTCCATTTTTTAATCAATAACTCAAATTACATCTAATCTTCTTTGCTTTCAATTTAACAAAGTCCCTATTTAGTCAACAGTCAAGCTATGCAAATACTAGAAACACGTCCAGGAAAACATCAACCATGATAATTACTTAATGTTCAATACCTTAAGGTCAACACAAATACCCTCCCCCCCTTTTTTCAACCAAAAATTTAACACTGATTGCACAAAATATTAAAATTTATTTATGGGGTTCACTTTCTCTTATCAGACGTGGAAATTGAACACCAAAATCTAATCATATACTTAAAAAATAAGATTGTGTTAGTATTCAAAAGAACAAAAGTAAAACTTATATTTAATAATTAAATTTATCTTGTTATTTATTTTGCAGGTGCACGAGATAGAGTAATCGCTATTAACGTAGAATCAACCATTTGAAGACATTTCATGATGGAAATTGATCCACAAGTACCCACCACCTATAATGTATAGTAGTAACAAGACCATCCCATACTAAGTCACATTCATAAATAACAGGTGATCCAATGAATCCAACAAAAGCCTCCATCACATGAAGCTAAAATCACAAGTAGCAATCGAAGCACATCATGTTCAACCAACACTCTGTCACTGAAATTCAAACATGACTGAATCTAAAACTAAATAAACATCATCAACAAGTACATTTCAATTATGACTTGATACTGAATGTTATCAAACAAGAACAACAATAAATTCCCCCCCGCAACCCTCAATCAATTCCACACATACAAAAACCTGATCACACTCTTATTCCATTCATTGACTAAGCTACTTGATCTACCGTTTCACTAAGCTACTTGATCTACCATTTCAGTATTGACATCAAACACCAAGCATCTCAGATCACAAAAAATACACAAACTACAGAGTCATTCCAATTCATTTATCTAAGCGCATTCCTCAAATTTTCAGCATAAATAAAGAAATTCGCGAGTTGGAGAAAATCAAAACAATAAAAAATTAAAAACCATAACCAAGCAAAGGAAGGTACAAAACCTGCAACTAAAACCATGCAAACAAAGGAAGAACCATACGCCAAATAAAAGCAAGTGTTCCCACTCAGTGATTCTACAAACACCGAATAGAATGACAAAAATCACGACAACCCACACTTGAAAACAACTATTCAAACCAGACAGAGGAACATATCTTCAAAATTAATACAAACAAGTTCGGGCCAAGATAAAATTGAGAAAACATCACCTAGATGACTCACAGATGGTGGTTCAAAGGTGCGCGGTGGTTGGCATGGTGGCGTAGGACTGGTGAGGTAATGACTGGTTCCAATGAGGGGGTCGCAAATCAAATTGGGGCACAACTGGGCAGTGGTGGTTTGCGATGGTTGGTTGGGGCTCACAATAGCCACTACTGGGGACGTGTTGGTTGTCGGTGATGGCTGGAGGTGGCTGTGGTGCACGGATCTAGGGTTGAGGATGAGTGGGAGAGGAGAAGTGAATGGGATCGAGAAAGGAATGAGAGTGGTGTTGGATGGTGGTTCGAAGGTGCGCGGTGGTTGGCGTGGCGGCGGAGGACCGGTGAGGTAATGACCGGTTCCAATGAGAGGGTCGCAAATCAAATTGGGGCGCAACTGGCAGTGATGGTTCGCGATGGTTGGTTAGGGCTCACAATAGGCACTAATGGGGACGTGTTGGCTGTGGCGCGTGGATCTACGGCTGAGGATGAGTGGGAGAGGAGAAGCGAATGGGATGTAGAAAGGAATGGGAGTGGTGTTGGTCGTGTGGGTTTCGGTGCACTAATTAATTGTTAATTTATGGACTGATATATTTATCTTTAATTAATTGTTTATTTATTGATGAATATATTCGTTGGTAAGACTAAATTCTAAAAATATTTTAAATTTGTCGGTAGTGTCCCTCAGTTATCTGTAATTAATTGTTTATTTATCGATGAATATATTTGTTGGTAAGACCAAATTCTAAAAATATTTTAAATTCGTCGGTAGTGTCCCTCGGTAATCACTTATTTTCTGACGGCTATATATTCGTCGATAACTAATTGTTAATTTATCGACAGATATATCCATCAGTAATTAATTATTCATTTATCGACGAATATATTTGTCGGTAAGACCAAATTCTACAAATTTTTTACATCCGTCGGTAGGCATGACAACGGCACGGGGCGGGGGCGGGTTTTGCCTCCCGATCCCTGCCGGGATTAGAAATTAAGTCCTCATTCCCGTCCCCGCTGGGTTCGAGTTCCCCGTCCCCGCTGGGTTTCGAGTTCCCGTCCCCGCCCCGTCCCCGATCTATATTATTTTTAAAAAGATAATTATATTTATAATAAATTAATTTTACTATCTATTTTTTATATATAAATAAATATTTATAATTTTATAATTTATAATAATTATTAATTAAATATACATTTTAATTTATTATATTTATATTAAAATATGTATGTAAAAGAAATATTTAATCATTTTTTATTTATAACATTATTATTATTATTATAATACTATATTCAAATATTTGAATAATTATAACATTATCATTATTATTATAATACTGTATTCAAACATTTGATTATATATATATATATATATATATATATATATATAAAAGTTAATTCATTTTTAAGTTGTCATTTAAAAATATGAAATATATAGTTTATAATGAAATATTTAATAAGTTAATTATTATTCAATTAGTTCAAAGTAATAAAAGTTTAAATTATCAATTCCTTTAATCCTTTAAAATACAATTATTTTATTAAGATAAATTTGATATATGATAAATAAAAATAATAAGATAAACAAATGACATAATAAAACCTAATAAATATAAATTATAAATAAAATAATATTAGTTACTATTAAGATTTATGTAAAATATTTAGAAAAAGATAAAGAATAAAAAAAATTAACTGTGTTCATCAAATTGATTGAAAAAATTGAAAAAAAAACAAATTGATGAGATATATTAAGGAAATATGAAAAACTACAAGGTATAAGAGAAAATAATGTAATAAATTAATTGATATAAAAGATTAAAAAAGGAAAAAAAAGTTAAAAAATAGGTAGAAGAAAAATAAAAATTGGTAAAATATAAAAAAAATGACCTTATATGTAATAGAAAAAGAAAAGAAAATACTTTGAAAATATTAATATTTTAAAATTTAAATTTAAATATAAAGTCGGGCGGGGACGGGACGGGGTCGGGATGGGGATTGCATTACCCATCCCCGCCCCGCCCCGACTTTTTAAAGCGGGGAAAACCTGAGCCCGCCCCCCGCCCCCGGTCAACTCGGATTTTCCCCGTCAAACTCGAGGCCGGGGCGGGTCAGTCCTCACGGGGACGAGTTTAATTGTCATCCCTATCTGTCGGTAATATCCGTCGGTAATCACTCATTTTCTGACAATTACATATCTGTCGGTAATATCCATCAGTAATTAATGATTTTTTTGTAGTGGTAGAGAAATATGAAATACAAAATACAAAATTAAAACATATAGTAAAAAAAAATTCAATTTATTACAAATACTAAAAATGTAAGAAAATACAATGTATGATGAATTACAAGATTATTACGTGTTCTCGAGACTAAAAGATATATGTTGATGCTAAGTCGAGTCATGAATATATAATTCATAATGGACTGAAATGTGTGTGGTTGTGAGTATCCAATGAGGTATTGTATTTATTAGTGTGACTACTATGTGTGTCTGAATTCAATGAAATTTTAGGTTCTATTGATAACCCCAATCAAGTAGTAAGATATAAGGAGCCAATAAAGAGATTATTAATGACTTGCCTTGAGATAGAAGAGAAATACATAAGAATGGGTAATGTTGTTAATAGTTTTACTTTCTAGGTAAGGAAGTTAGAATGATGTTAATAGTCAAAAAGCACCTAATGTAATATTTTTGTGGTGACCTGGAGATGTTACTCTTTAAATTTGAAGTATAATATCAATATTCTGAAAGATGTCTATGAGTCACATATTGAGATAAGATATATATAATATGATATATGTGATATTTAATAATTAATTATTATATGAATAATTAATGACTTATTTTCTTATTTTTATGATTTAATTGTTATGATCATATTGATTATATTGGAACAAAATACATTATAAATATGAACATTATATCCAAATTATAAAACTATATAATTAAAATAGAAATAAAATTATTTTACATATATTTATTATCTCGAACAAGTAAATATTATTTTTTATTAAATATTTATTGTAAATTATATTATAATAATAATGATTTCTAGGATAATTAAAAAATATATTAAAAAATAAATTTTAAATAAAAAAATTCTCATTTATTAAGATTTATTGAAAAAAAATATAATTAAAGATGGTTCACCTTCTGTAACAACGTTTATATTTGCTTTTAAAGAAATTACCACCGATAACATTGATTGAAAAAAAATATATAAACATAAAAAAACTAACATAAAAAAAAGCTTGGTTGATATGAGCTGAAAACACAATTTTGCTCTTACGTCAATGGAAGAAAAGTTCCAATGATTTAACCTAGTAAATAGTCTTATTAATATAAACTAAAAATTTTAAATTACATTAATATAAAATAGACTGACTAATATCGAAAAATAAAAATCCAAATTTAGTTTGAATGAAAAAAAAAATAGTTATATTAATGTCAATTAAGTCTAAGATGATAAAATATAAAAAATGAGAACATTTGACTCTATGGACATTCCTCCAGTTTATAAACAACATCGATTCCAAAATTAAGGAATGTGACTTAATCTTACATGAACAAAATCATCAACATTAAATTAAATTTTAGTACATTTTTTTATATATGATAGCATTTAACTTCGTGTGAGCCATAACCTCTAAGACAAGTGATACTTACTTGAGCCACAAAACCAATTGGTCATGAATGTTACTAAATAACTATTAATGCAATGACGAGTGAACCTATCAAATAAACTTTAGAGTAGTTTATGATTTTAGGTGTGGTAAGTAACCATTTATGTTCACATGCATGATCATGCAAAATTAATGCTATTTTGTGATCTAAACAATAATAAATATATATAATCATGGTTATCAAAGTCGAATCCGATCACTAAGTTCAATTGATTGGATTAGAAATCAGATTGATAACCGAAATTCCTTAAAAATAGGACGTACAATGAATCCGTCAATAATGGGATAAATTGAATTGATCAAGGATTACTTTTTTTTTTTTTTTAAGGTTAATCAAGGTTGTTTTGTTCTATTTTTTTTTCTTTCATTTAAATTAAGGACATACAAATGTGAAGAGAAAAAGTTCATGTGGAATTTTTGGTTCACTATATTCTTTGTTCTTGTCATTATCACTCACTGACTTTGATTGTCTCATTTCAACATTGTCCTTGTTGTCATTGTGATTTACTATTATCATTATAATCATTCATAGAAACACAATAATATGTAAGAATCACAATTTCTTCATTTCAAAAATTAATTTGATAAAATAATTTTAAAGTTGTCATACTATAATAATATTTTTGGAGGGATTTTTAGTGCATATTTCATAAAACTATACTTGAGATTTTCTAAAATTAGGATATTCTAAAATTGTGATGATTTCTAAAATTGGATATTAGGAGTAAAATTGATATTAATGAGTTGACATTGGATTAAGTAGAGTGAGTTATCCTTGAATTCTATGTCTTAAAATAAAATGTACATAATGTCTTAAAATAAAATGTACATAATTTGAAATTAAGCGTGGAAAATACGGTGTAATTTTTCTCCAATTTTCAAGTTAGGTGTAATTTTTTTTTCCTAATTATTTTCATTTAGGTGTAAGAACAAACTATTAATTGTTATTGTGAGTTTCAAGTGTTTGATGATATGTTTATTTATATTACTTTTGGTTTATAGATTTTACAAATTATTATTATTATTATTATTATTATTATTATATAATACTTTTTTAATTATAAATATAGAAGTTAGCAAATGAATAATATTGTTAAAGTATAATAATTAAAATAATGTTAATATTTTTATTGATAAACTTATGTAAGATAATATATTATGATATTACAAAAGTATATTATTTTATTAAATTTGATTTAATTCCAGATTAATTTTCGGTTATATCTTTGAAAAACGATTTAGTCACCTGTTCAATTTGAAAACATAGTATATAACCTTACAACATATCACTGTAACAATGATTAAGACCTTAAACAGGCTTTGATTTGAGAGACAAAAACATCATTTAACTATTTAGAAGGAGTGGCACGACGATGATGATGTCTAGTCACAAGGCATCACAGAAGTTAAAGAAAATGCAGCAAAGGAACATGAAACAAAGACCAAGACCTGCAATTTTTTACATCAGCAAGCTGGCGTCGACAAACTCATTTCCTCCTTTGACTTTTCTGGCAA